GTATCAATCCTTCCAATGAGCAATCAGGGTTGATTTCCTTTAAGATTGACTGGTTTGACCTCCTAGCAGTCCAGGGGACTCTCAAGAGTCTTCTCCAGCACCACAGAAAATAACAGGAGGGTGGTCTAATAACAATAACTTACTAGAATACTGGGAAGGAACCAATCATTTTGTCTGACTAGTGGGGGGAGTGTTGGGGAGCCTAGTCATGTCAATATGTCATTTCTCAAATCGCTATCTCCTACGGACCTTTGGATTGCTTCATTTGCCTTTGTTCTAATGCATCATCACAGATATTTACTTTTCAACAACTATTACCGCCAAGCATATCACACTGCTCAAAAGATCACTTTATGGGGGACCAGTCTAAGGAAAGTCCTAACAACAATCCGGTCCAAACAATCTCATTTAACTGCGGTAGATTTTAAAACTTCAGTGCCTGAGCCCTGAACTACTATAGCTGAGTTATATCACTTTCTGGAGATATTTATAGAAATAAAAATAAATGTTAACTTGTTTAAAAACATTGAAGGAATTTGCAGAAAAGAAAAGCTTCTGCTTTTGTCTGCTATATACATGTAGGATCTGATGGCACAACAGATGAGAACTGGGCAACAATGTTCACAGCTATCAGGCTGGTGAGCGTAGAACGTCTTGCAAACATCCTTATGTTCACATGGCAGAAGATTTGCTGCTATCCTATCACAACTGGCCTGAAACAGCAGGACTAATTCCAATCATGGACTTTTAGGCTACCATGGTAAAAAAGTCTTAAAATATATTTTCATCACACCTTGTTATTTTGCAAATTAATACTGTGCTTTAGGTAAACAGACTAGATCTGAAGTTATGAAAAGGGAGGGAGGGATAGATGGATAGATGTGAAGTTGTCAGGTATTTTAATTAACCTCAATGGAGATTTGCTCCTATATTATCCTGTAATTAAAAGATTTTAAGATCATTTCAGCCTTCATTAAGCTGGCATCTTAGATGTTCTATATTGGCTGGAATCTTGTGAGTTACAGTCCCAACATACTGTATCTGCAGGGAGCCAGGTCAGTGAAGTTTGTCTTAGACTATCATTGCATCCCACACTTTTGGTTTATTGGTTACATAAAGGCTTTTAACAATGTAGACTACAACAAATTGTGGTTAACCCTTAAAAAATGGTATACTAGGCTACTTCCTTCATCCATCCATTGAAGAATTCTGAGAACTGAATAGAATATGGAGAACTAAATTGTTCAAAATAGATAAAGGAGTGTGCTAATGTTATCCACCATTTATTTGACTTAGATACAAAATAGATAATAAATGCTGTGGAGTCCTTGGGGTTCTCTGAGCTTGGTTGTTTTTTTGCAAACGTTTTGTTACCTGGCTAGGTAACATCTTCAGTGCTAGAATGGAGTGGACCTTGCTCTCTGTTTATATACAGTAGCTTGCCCTGTCAGTGTTGGTGGGGGTGGAGTGCTGGACTAGAAGGAATAGGAATTAGAATTTAAGTTTCTCAGAGAACAACAACCTCAGATACACTGATAATGCTATTTTGATAGGTTGAAGTGAAGAAGACTTGAAGAATCTCTAGGTCAGTGTTTCTCAACCTTGGCAACTTGAAGATGTGTGGACTTCAGCTCCCAGAATTCCTCAACCACCCATGCTGGCTGGAGAATCCTGGAAGTTGAAGTCCATACATTTTAAAGTTGCCAAGGTTGAGATACATTGACCTAGGTGGAGCTGAAAGAAGAGAGTGCAAAAGCTGGCTGACTGCCCAATATTAAAACAGACCCCAAAACTAAGACTGTATGAACAAATAATGTTAACCATATGCAAAAAGGTGGAGAATAGTAGCAGACCTTACCTTCCTAGACTCAAACAATCACAGGGATATTGACATCTACTTGTTAAAAAGGCTGTGATAGAGCTAGACAAAATATTGAAGTGCAGAATTACCACACTAACAGAGTACATATTGCCAAGACTATGGTTTTCATAGTTGTAACATGGCTATGAAAGCTGGACTATCAGACTGAACAAAAAAAAAATGATGCCTTTGAAAAGTACTGGAGAAAACTCTTGAAAATACATTAGAATGGACAAAGAACAACCAATGAACAAAGAACAAACAATTCAGTTCTAGAACCAAACTTTTCACTGGATGCCCTATTAATGAAGCTAAAGCTTTGACCTGTAAACTAAAGGGAAGTGATAACCAGTGTGGTATAATGGTTAAAGTGATGGATTGGGAGTAGAGCGACCCAGGTTCTAGGTATGGAAGCCAGCTGGGT